AGCCAGCAGAACTACTTTGCATGATCTTGTAATATGCCACAGTTAGAGTTCTATCAGTGTGATCTGCAAACATGATCTAAAAGATGTATTTGTGCAGATTTGAGATTGTTAAATAGATTCATGCAAATTCCAACTCACAGCATTTTTTCCTCATTACACATTTTTGAGCCGATAAGGAATTTAATGAGCATCTTTACTAGGCCGAAATGATAATATTAATGATGTTACTCATTGGCACAACTCATTAAGACATTTTTATAGTTTTTAATTTTTTTTCCCGTGACTGAGTCAATGTGATGCATTAGAGACTTACCGTACAGTGTGTCATGTACTTCAGTCGACACCATGGGTTCAATTTGTTTATATGTTCAATTTTTTTTTTAATAAATATTATTTGTTAAGGCTTTTCTAGAGTCACAGTAGACATGGATGCAAAACATGCTGAACAACCTAGCACAGCTTGACAGCCCATATGACAATGAGGACCTAATGATTGACATGTTTCAAAACTGTGCAGAAATCAGTCTGTCTTCAGCCTGGTTCTGTCTACGCTTTGGACGCGACTGCTGTCAACATCACTGCCTAAAGCTTTTCTTTTCAGAACTTACATGCTCTCTGGGTCCGAAGGCCGTCCAGTTGCCAAAGGTCACTGCCACAACTTTAACATCGTGCTGTTAAAAGAAAGTGGCTCTCTCTTTCTTCATTTCTTTATGACATTTAAACAGAAACCGCCAGACTAGGAAGTAGTAAACTGCTGCATTTCTGACTCTTGTTTCTCTTTTTTCTTTGTCTATAAAAATGTGATGAATGCCGGTGTAAACCTGGAACTCTGACTTTAAAAACCTAATGGACCGTTAAAAGAAAATACGTATTGAAGTAGAAACTCTGTGTTATAAAGTCTGATCAGTCCAGAAGGCACTGAAGAGGAACTGAATGTGTTATTGTTATTTCTTTGGAGATTCATAGAAGGCATCGAAGACGAAGAGTTTAAATTATATAAACATATTTTTAAGAGAGAGTGTATTTGTTTGGATCTGGAAGGTTTCGCTTATCAGTTACACTTGTTTTTCTTTAGATGGAACATTTTTATAATTCTGATTAAAGTGTAATGGTTCAGCTCCAATCTTAATGATGTAAGACTAAATCAGAGCAGGAACAAAAAACCAAAGATTAGATCAAAGGCCAAACACAGATTAAAACACTGCTGTTATTTTGCCAAGTTTTATATGTTCTTCAGCTGAACAGACCAGACATTATTAGCGGAATTTTATTAGGTATTTTAATCATCTATGTTTTACCATTGTCAATGTGAATTTTAAAGGACTTCTGATTTAGAGGAGTAGTACTGAACTACGGATGTCTTGATACAACGGATACTTGCAACTTGGAGTATCTGCTAATGCTGATATCCATCCAATACCTTCCTTCCTCCTCCAGCATGCTGTGGGCTGTCGCTGCTGAGGTGATAGTGTTCCTGTTTATTACGTCGACGTTAGTTGAGCATTTGGACTAAGGTATCGGATCGGACGGGTTCCCTATACTGGACCCAGCAGCCTGCTGCTCATCACTAAACTAATCACTGCAAATGAATTTATTTCGATGTGTAAATTATAGCTTAATTGTTTGTGCAGTCAACATGAAAATGTATGAACTCACAAAGTAACATTGAGAACCAAGGAAGTGTTGCCCGCCATCCCTAAATAGGGATAATAAAAATAATAAGTTCTTCAGTTTGAAAAATAAAATGTATACATGAATCTGTTCAGGGGATCTGTCCAGAAGGATACTTAAGAAAAGAATTGTCTGGGCAGCCTGGACATAGCTACTTTCTGACTATATTCTCTCCGACCCTAGTGTTTGTGCGTCTGTTTGTTACTTGTCAGCTGCTGCTGTGTTTCATCTTTACTCATTTGTCCTGCCCCTAAAAACCCATACATCATTGGTCTAACAAAGACAAACCAGCCCTCTCAGCACTCAGCTAACAAAACCCACAGACTCCCTGAGGCCTGCTGTCTCCCACTGACCAACTTCATTTCACTGTCTGACAAGACTGATTTATAAGCCAGCAGGACCAGCAGGTCTGCTTTGCCAAACCGAAGGTTTACTGACTGAACCGTTTTGATATTTTTTACAACATGGTCACCAAACAGAGAGTAACTG